CTTTCATCTCTCAGGAATACTTGACTCTGATTGGTTAATCATAGCCTTCTGCAGTCAAATATGTAAGGGATAATGTACAGCTAGCTGCTTTCAAACAATGTTATTTTAGTATGTTTAATATAGTATTATAGTAAGTATTATTATTAATAATTATTTTGAATGAGGTTTCATTTTTCATTTTAGTATAGGTCTTAATAATTTTATGTTTGTGTGTCTGTGTGTGTTTTAGTAGGAAACTAGCTTGGCTACTAGCTGAAATATAGTGCCCTCCACTAATATTGGCACCCTTGGTAAATATGAGCGAAGGTGTCTGTGAAAATAAATCTGCATCGTTTATCCTTTTGATCTTTCATTCAAACAATTCACAAAATTCTAACCTATCATTGAAGTAAAACAATAGAAAGTGGGGTGAAAATCTCACTGACATGAGATCAGAGACCATTCCTTCATTCAGAATCTCTCCAGATCCTTCAGACTCCCAGCTCAATGTTGGTGGTGCTTCTCTTCAGTTCACCCCATTCATTTTCTATAGGTTCAGGTCAGAGGACTTGGATTGCCATGGCAGAAGCTTCATTTTGAAGGATCCAGAAGGATCATTGTCCTGATGGAAGATCTAAACATGGCCCATTATAAGATTTCTAACAGAGGCAGTCAGGTTCAGATTATTTATCTGTTGGTAATTGATAGAATCCATGATGCCATGTATCTGAACAAGATGTCCAGGACAATATTTAATGAAAGTATAGCTTAACGATTTAAAATGCTTTCAAGAAAACAAACAGCACAGAAAAAGCAAACTCTGTACCACACATTGTTTGTGTGTGCTTTAAATTGCCTGCCACGTCCAGCTTTCCCACTCAACCTTCATCTTCTGCTCATTACAGAGATGAATGAGTGTTTGGGTGTGTTTGACCTGTGTCAAGGTTAGCCAAGGGCCTCTGATGTTGTCGTTCTCTGGCAGCACAGAGGTCCGATTGGGGCCTTAGGCCTTTACTGCAGCCTGTCCTTACATACAGTACACAACCACGATTGTTTCTTTTAAAGGGTTGGTTAGCTTTTTATAAGTGCCTGCTCATTGTTCACTACGGTTTACGAGTTAAGTGTGTGTAATCACCTCAAAGATGCACCAGCACAGTTTGTTTATCAGCCAGCGAGCAGCTCTTCAGTGTGATTGGGGTCATTGAAACGTGGTGGATGCTTTTAGCCTGGGCAGCGAGCTAATAGTGAGGCTCTGATACAGCACGCCGTTCCTGTTAAAGGCTCCCTGATTTTCCTCAAATTGCTCTTATTACTGTAATACCTGTACAGTAATGACACATGCTGACACTATTGTAGTGACTTTCCCTTTTAAACAACAACAACAACAAAAATTGTCATGGTAGAGCATACAGTGATGTGTAGTGATGGTATAGTACAGTATACTATGGTACTGAACGGTTACTCCAGATGGTGTCAAAAAACACATTGTTATACCATGCTACTTTTGTGTTAGAGGTTATTAGTATTATACGGTTTTTTTTGTTAGTGTTATAATGGCATTATTCAGATGTATGACCTTGTACAATACAAATGGCTTTCTAGCTCAAAATTAAACATTCATATTGCTACCAAAAAGAGTGTTTGAGTCTAAAGGTCAATTTGAAAATTTAAGGTCACAATGAAACTTTTTTGACATTTATACAAGACATTCCTCAAAACTTAAAGTAAGAAAGTAAGGATTGGAGTGACTAGAGATATTCTCAAGTCTGCTTTATTGTCAATTCTTCCACATGTACAGCACATACACACAGAGAATTGAAATTGCGTTACTCTCAGACCCTTGGTGCATACAGATAACACTAACAGTAGAACATAAATACAGATAGATACAGATTTAAATATAAAATACAACTATACAATTATACAAATAAGGTAAAATGTAAAAAAATATATAAAGCAGCATAAGGCGCATGGCAGATAGAGTGCAAACCAGTGAAGTAAACAACAGTGCAGATATAATGATTGTAGTGCAAAAGAGCTTATTTAGACTGATTAAAGTGACAGTGTGTGTGTGTATTTGGGAGGGTGTTGTCAGCCCAGGAGAGATCCTCTGTGATGTGCACACCCATTATGATATTATGATGTCCCTCATTTGTGTATATCTTTAGATAGAAGTGTTTGCTAAATGAATCAATGTAAATATAAATAAGCTAATTAATGACATTAATGCATTATTTTCTGTAAAAGTCCTTTCAAAATATGGATTGAGAAAAGTGGTATACCAGTAGAAAACAATACCATTCATAATTTTGTTCAAAACCTTTTTTTAAATAAATGCTGTTCTTTTGAACTTTGTATTCATACAAAAATATTAAGCAGCACAACTGTTTCCAACATTGATAATAATAAGAAACGTTTCTTAAGCTGCAAATCGGCACATTAGAATGATTTCTGAAGGATCGTGTGACTGGAGTAATGATGCTGAAAATTCAGCTTTACATCACAGAAATAAGTTAAATTTTAATATGCATAAAAAAAAAACTATAAAAAAAACAGTTATTTTAAATTGTAATAATATTTCACAATATTACTGTTTTTACTGCATAAAAAGTGCAGCCATGGTGAGCATAAGAGACTTCTTTCAAAAACATAAAAATCTTACCCCAAACTTTTGAATGGTAGTCCATATATTTTTCAAATTTTGGGTGCCATTATTTGGACAAACAGCTGATCCCATCCTAAATTTATGGCGTTGGTTGAAGCGATGACACATCAGGTCATTCACATGTTCATAATGCCGCAATGTCTTACAGCACTACAAATGTATGAGATAGGAGAAAGTTGACAGAAAGCAACATTAGCTTTAAATAAGAATTAGCTGTCTAAGGCTCTATACTGAAATTAATTATGTAGCTGTGTCTGGACTGATGTATCGGCGGTCAGTATCTGCTGATATTGCTCAGACAGCTTTAGCTGAGTTTATTAGGACTTGTTTTGTACTTTGAGCGATCCACTTTGTCACAGTACCATCTGTTTGCTTTGTTAATGTTGCTGTGTGCCACTTCTCTTCTGTGTTATTCATTTATATCTGCTGTTCCTGAATAAGTAAAGATGTGAAGCCTGGTTAGTTGGCTGGACACATCTGCATTTATCTATGAGTGCATGTAATGAGCAGCATATAGACTCTGTGGGAGAAAGTTTTGAAAGATAGTGAATATATATATATATATATATATATATATATGTGTGTGTGTGTGTGTGTGTGTGTGTGTGTGTGTGTGTGTGTGTGTGTATTATTGTTCAGAGCCAATGCTTCATTCTCACTCTGTCTCTTTCTCCCTAACTTTCTGTTCCAAAGTGCAACTGAATTATATATTGGTTTCCCTTAAGCACAAAGTCAGAGTAATAATTTAATGCATGAGTCATAAAGGTGCCACTTTGCCTCAGTGTCTTCCATCATCTGTGTGTGTGTGTACTTGTGTTCAGTGTCTGTGACAGATTTCAATACTGACATTCATAATAAACGCTGTGTGTGTGTGTGTAAGATGCCTCTGCTTTGTTGTCTGCGGAGAGTTGTGTTTCTGGAGCTGATCTATCACACATCAGTCTCAGACTACAAACCCACAGATTGTCTGATGAATATAGATCAATTTATCATGATGGCACATCCTGGTTTTCAAGACGAGCAGTTTTTAGTGGTGACTTTGAGCAGCACTGCACTTTTAATGATCTGATGAACATTATGTATTTTATGAGTGTTAAACAAAGTTATTATAAAGTTATGCCTATGGTTCATAGTAGAGTACAACGTGTAACAGGTTGTTGAATACACATTCTCAAATGCATAATTCAAAAATTCTAAAGCTTAAAAAATAAAAGTAAAAAAATGCTATTTTCAGCAGCAGAATGTTTAAATACCCAATTTCAAGTAATAATATTTTAGGTCACAATTTTTTTTTATACTCAGAAATTGGTAGTAAATTTAAGAAATAATTAGAAAGAAATGGCAAGTAACATTGAATTGAACATGGCATTTTAAAGTAAAAAGACTGAAATAGTATTTTCTTGAAAAACATACTCAAATGATGAACAAAATATATTTTTACAGTGTACTGTATTGCTTCATTTTTATTTCATATTTCAAACCGTACCAGTGCATTCTGCTCTAAAAAATGGTGGAAACAATTTTCACTAGCAAATTGCTAGAAAATTTCACAATTAATTACGTGAAATGGCAAGCAACACATTGACTTAAACATGAAATTTCAAAACAAAAAGACTGAAATAGTATTTTCTTGTAAAACATAAGCTTTGTTTTATTTGCAGCTTTGAAAAATATTTTTTTTACAGTGTGCTGTGAGACTTGGTCGTGTTAGATCAACGGTCATGTATTTGACCTTATATTTGTCACAGTAGTAAAGTCGTTGTTTGTGCAATCCCTCAGAGATATGCTAATCTACTCAACACCAGCGGCGGGTCAATGAGGTCTTATTAGAGCAGAAGCAATGATCTGTCATAACATGTGTCAAATCCTGAGTTTGTCCTGATTCACTGATCCTGATGGACCTTGATCTGCAGTAATTGTTTGGAAACGGTGTTTGAATTCCACATACAGTACATTTACTGGAGTGCTAAAATAACTTTTTTTTCTGGGGTGTTAAAAGAACATGCCATTGTTGCCACTATGTTTTTGTTTGTAAGAAATTATTTTATCTATTTCATATAAAAATTCCATCTCAGAATCACAAGGTCCAGTCTGATTGATTATGATTATGAAAATTCTCAAATAGCAGATCTACTGTTTTCTGTGCTGATTTTTGAGTACGTGTGTAGATAAAGGATTTCAGAAATGTTGTGCATGTCTCATTTGTCATCATGAAGTTATATTATGCTTATACTTACATTTTTATGGCCAGACTGCAAAGTCGACCAATAGTCAAAAGTAATATGCCATCTGCAGAAGTGCTTGTATAGCCCAAGTGTCACAGTTCCGCTGACCTCTGTTTTCTGTGCGTCTGCAGGTACACTCAATGTTCTCACGAGGGTGAAGAGCATCGCCACTGTGGATTCTGCCGTCTGGTCTCTCTCCGGACACCAGGGGCCCGAATGGAGGAAGGCGGATGCTGAGATCTATCCGAGCGGACCCTTCCAGGTATGACTGTATTTATGCGCAGGTGTGTGTATGAGAGTTTGTATGCAAACACATTGTATGCAAATGTGTCTTCTGATCTGTGTGTGAGTATGTGTGTGTGTGTTGTGCACATGTGGCTGTGTGAGTATATTTTCTATAGCACACATGTGGACGGGGATATATCATATATTTCTGATATATGCATGATGCTTTTGGTAGTGATGTTTTCTTTTTAATGCAATTAGAGCAGTTGGATTGATATTTATCTATTATTTTGTACTTATTTTGTGCAGTCCACGTTGGCAGGTGTGATATGTCTGTCTGAGTGTTTGTGTGTGGTTAGAGGGTCTGTGGGGGGATGATTGAGGAAGTGCTGAGTCGTGCTCTACCGCTCTCCTCTGGACCTGTGTTTCTGCTGAGTTGAGCTCTCAGCACAACAGCTGCAAAGACCAGGAGACGTTTTACTGCTCATCACAGAGGAGAAAAGGTGCTGGAGAGAGAAAATGACAAATTGAAAGAGCTTGAAGAGCAGGGCTGAAAAAAGAGAGATTTATACAGCATAGAAAACTGAGAAGGGCAGAAAAGGATGAACACCACATGCAATAGGTATGGAAGTAAAGACAGGTAATTCAGGGGAAAAAAGGGAGAGTTTACAGGTAAATGGGACACACTTACATCTGGGCTCATTGGTCCTGGTCTTGTCAGATTATTTTACCCTCATTCTTTCTACACTACTGCTTAAAAGCGACAAGAAATTGCATTTGACTTTCATAATGGGACAAATTTCCAGGTGAAACTGAATATTCAGTGGGAAACAATGTAGGACAGGGCTGGATCTTATCCTTTTGGGATTTGATTGGATCAGGAAATATAGGCTATGTTATTTATTAATATTTTTTGGCTTCACCCAAGTGGATTATAACAGCAGAAACAAAGTTGTTTCATAGGTGGACAACATTATTACATTTTGATGAAGATTATAAAAACATGTAGAGCAATATAAACTGATGCATCATGCACAGTAAGACCAGGATCACTAGGTTTATTTTCTTAGTTTACATTTCCAGTTTTGTTGTGCCCCAGTTTTATTTTAGTATTATCACTACTATTATATTTTTATATATTAAA